TAGGAGGCTCAGTTTATATGGATAGTTTTTTATTTTTACAAGAACAAGATGCAATGAAAACAAGCAAAAATGAAATAAAAGTAACAACTTTATACTTCTTGTCTTTTTTAAAAATGTAAGAAGTAGAAGTAAAAAGTACGCTGAAAAATAATTACTCAAGTAAAGCACAGATACCTAAAAAAATCTACTTAAGTACAGTAACAAAGTATTTGTACTTAGTTTACAGCTGTGGATTTAAGACGGTTTGCTGTAGTACACAGGGGAAAGGCTTCATCGGCGATGCACAGGAGGTAACGTTCAGCTGGAGGACATCGTGCCGTGTGCACGCACAGTCTGCCGTCACGTTGAAGGAGAGACGATCAAACACCTGGTCATGGAGGAGCTTCAGCAGGTACTGTACTGCAGGGCTTCTCAACACATTTGGGTCTGAGGACCCCTTACAAGGGCGAAGAGAAGTTCAGGGACCCCGCTCATAAATCCCCCGCTGTTTTAAAATATATTTTGTTGAAATTTAACCCTTAAATGTCATGGAAATATATATTTTTATTAAGTTTATTATGTTTGTTTTATTAGTTCATTGTTTTCCATGCATTTTAAAAAATAAAAACCAAATTAACAATTTAGTGACATTTTCTGAGGACCCCCAAGATGCATCTCGTGGACGCCTGGGGGTCCTGGGACCCCAGTTTGAGAACCTCTGCTGTACTGCACTATTGTATAATACAAAAAGTTTACTCTGATGTCATAATTGATACATTTCCTAACACTAGATTTATTTTGAACTACTTCATCCCCTGCTATTTTAAAATTGTCATCTGTTTTACATACTTTAAGTGTTAATAAAAATGTACCTAATGCCTTTTATGCACACTAATTAGGGATGTGGATAAATGTTTAATCCTACACCAATATTAAATCTGACAGCGAATTCCAAAAGAATATTTCAAACCCTACAAAATAAAACCAAAATCCTGAGATTATCTGAAGTCTGAGGGAAGTTATTGATGTTTGTTTAGGTGAATCAGCTCATCTTTTCCAGAGTTGTAAAGTAACTAAGTACAAATACTTTGTTACCTTACGTAAGTAGAATTTTTGGGTATCTGTACTTTACTTGAGTAATTATTTTTCTGCATACTTTTTACTTTTACTCAATACATTTTTACACAGTTATCTGTACTTTCTACTTATTACATTATTTTAAAAGGTAGGAAGTAGAAAGTTGTTACTCCTATTTTATTCTGAGTTGTTATTATTTAAAAAATCTTCTCCTGATAAATAGTGTCTCCTGGATAGAGTGAATTTAATTGTGTTTGGATGAGAAGTATAAATATATACCATTCTGACACACTATTAGCTTGTAC